AATGGCACTTTTGTAGAGAAGTTCACGGGCTTTCTTATGATATATAATATGTCTAGATGTCTAGACTGTGAAGTCAAAAAAAAGCGTTTAATTGTAGTTATGTCATATCTGAAAGAGTGAATTTTTTCAAGAATCCTTAAAGATATTTTCTTCGGGTTGAAAATGGTGCTAGTAGGCTCAGAACAACCTGGAGTTGAATTTGGCACACCTTTTTGGATGTTCTTACCCTTTCTTCTGGGTGTTCATTGAAAATGTATGCTTAAAAAGCGAAACTATAAAAACTTTTTTGGGTGTTCGTTAGGCGTTGCTATACTCAGCTCGACGAGCTCTATCGATTGGCTAACTCAGATTTTAATTTGGGGGTGTTCGTGGGTGTTCGCGTCTTTTAGCAATACCCATAAAATGAGGTATGAATGAAGGAAATCGGAGTTGGGCAGCTGGGGCGGTTCCGTCGTTAGATCGATCGTTCCATTTGTATATGTATGAAGTAATACGATTATTCAAGATCATATCTGCCCAAGTACGGTCATACAGTAGAATCATGTCTGACGATATCTGTTCTTGTGTGATCCGCGAGCACGATTCCTCGACCTGGGCGCGTATATGTTTGAACAAAAATTAGTAGGATTGCTGTAGAATCTTAAAATAGTCCTCTCTTTTTTTCTTTAGAAAGACGTCAGAGAGTTTGTTATAGTGGGAAAAGTAAAACACATTGTTTAGCATCTACACGGGTTCGTTTATAACGTCATGGTTTTCCTCTTATTTTTTCTTGGCTCTACTCAGTTGCTACTTCTCCTTATTGATCGTTGTTTAATCTTTTTTAAATCATGTTTTGTTGGCTGCGTACACGATGGTAGGATGTTAACATTTTGTGCTATCTGTCCAAATCAACCCTTCTCGACCTTCCACATACACAAATCTTGACAGACAAAGGTTTTGCAAATGGCGGCATTTCAATAACGCCGTCAGAATGAACTCAGACATTTCCTACAAGCATCAAAAGAGCTTTTTAATTATCATTTATCTAGTAAACGAATTTTTATCGAACATATAACTAAAGAAATGAAATTTGTCTATTTTATATCGTTTATGTTGTGTATAAACACAGTGATGCCTTATGGTAAGCCGTCAGTCTTTGTACAGTCTACTTAGCTAATGTAAAGGCAAATCTCTTCTTTACTTAAGTTTTCAAATTACGTTTAAAACTGTTCTGCGTTTGTTGTTATTCGGGAATAAATAGACTATAAAAGCATGTGTAAATTTAATAGAGCCGTAGCAAATAAGCTATGTAACATTACTTATTTGCTACGGCTCTAATGTAAAGAGAGAACAAAGGATAGAATATTTTCCTTTGGAAGCGTCCATATGTTTCTTGGTATTCTTGTTCCTTTCTATGGAGGCTTTCAAAGGAAAATATTCTATCCTTTGCTCTCTCTTTACATCAAATTTACACATGCTTTTATCGGATTATAGGATTCGTACAACAACCATACGTACAATCTTATCGGATCTTACAACATCATACGTACAAAATGTTATGATTCCAAAAGATCGTAAGTATGATTGCGTATGGTCATATGCGACCTTACGTAATTGGGAGAAAGGGAAGAAAAAACAAAAAAATAATATGATATGAAGACTTTGCAAGTCATAGATCAACAGAAGAAAGTTCAATAAACTAGAAGAACCCATTGCAAATAATGAAAAAATCAATGGGCGACAAAACAAAAATAGAATATCGGAGTAATAAATAGGGTATGATAGTTCCATATCAGCTCCTATCATAGGAACTGTTGAACAGCTCTTTTGAAAGGAGCTGATATGTTCGAGCAGCTCACTAGTCTTCTAGACAAAGTTTAAACGTCCCGAATGTTCATTAGACGTTCATATCAGCGAAGTCCTGAAATCATAAATAGAAGCATGTAAAATGATTAGTTTTTTATTCCTCAGATAAGTATGGTTAAAAAGTAAAATAAAAGAAGTATGATCTTTATAAGAAAAGCAGACTAAAGAAAAGATTAAAATTTATCTTTTAGGAACATTGAATATTTCAAGTTTTTAGCTGAGAGAGAAGCCCGTGTTTTTCGAGCAACATAGTCTGCCATTGAGAATGCGCTCTGACTGGGGACTGAGGTTGCGGGTATAGGACCGAATCGACGCACCATCTGGTTCAATATTGGAAGTAAAGTTGAATGTTTTCTCCAGAATGACGCAAATGTATGACCGTTCTTCATCAGTGCTTCGAGTTGAGCAAGCTCTTGCTTCAGCGTGAAAGCTTTCGTTGAAAAAATTTCAAAAAATTTCAATTTTTAAAAATTCAAAAGAGCTGTTCAAACATCAGCTCCTTTCAAAAGAGCTGTTCGAACATATCAGCTCCTTTCAAAAGAACTGTTCAACAGTTCTTTCGCTCAAATGAGCTGAACTTATGAGCTGGAACTGTTACAGGTCTAGTAATAAAGAAAGAGCATGTGAGAAGCCAAATCGACACTATGTTACACCATTCCGCACCAACAAAAGCAAAATACAAGTAGTGTAATAGTGTATTGCTTGCACAAACTAGTGATGCAAAGTTCAGTATTATGAATCGCTCTTAGTATCTCAAGATTTTCGTCGGTTGAGAGTATGGCTGGCGCACACTTAACTGTGTAGTCTAGAGTTTCAAAAACAGCCGGATGAAGAACTTTCAAAGATTTACTAGTTCCGACCAGTTCCGGTTCTGTCAGTGACAACTCGAAGTGGTGAATGCTACCTGCTAAAACTTTATGAAAAATAAAAATGCTATATAAAATATCTCAGGTTTCTGCCGATTGAAATAGTTTTTAAGCATTACAATCATCTTGCAATGAATTGCAATGAATTCAGTCGTCAACCATATCCTGACCTTCTGACCAATATAGAGGAGGAAAATTCATTCGGTGTTTATTTCGCTGATCGTTCGGTGACGATGAATGACAGTCTCCGAAAAATTCAAGCTCAGGCGGAACAAGACAAGGCAGCCAAAATATGCGAAGTAAATACTGCGAAAGACAAATATCAGCGGCTTATGAGTTCAATAAGCGGTCTTCGTTGTGACTGTTATATCGGTCGTTATTGTAGCCTGTGTTATCGATGTAGGATTGAACAACAAGCAAACAACATTATAGTACACATTTACGAATGTCCAATACGCTTTAGACGAGAAAGTGCTTTAGCCGTTATTTTTGAGTTACAAATACACATTGAAGTGAGATATTATCGAGGCGTCCTTTGGCAGTTTGTAAATCGCCCTCATACGCAATCAAATAGTCGCATGTACGAATGGTTAAGCGATCCGCCTCATGCAACCAAGTTAGGACCATTCTATACTGGTCCACATGACTGCAAAGTGAAGTTGGTGTCGTCTACGAAATCCATAACGCAAACTCACTATTCCACTGTACCATCAGTTGCATCTACATCGGTCAAAGACTTTCTTTACGAAAACAGCCTGAAAGTTCAAATATCATCCACCAAACAGATTGCACTCGAGGATGAGTGTCGTATGTTAACTCCCAAGCTCAATCATCCAGATTACAAGCATTTACAGTTTTCTGTAGACTCCACTCGATTCGTACAGAATCGGGTGATTGCTGAACTCTCGAATTGCCCACAAAGACTAAAACCCACGCAGTTTGTCGAGTTTGGTTCATTTCGCTCAGGCCATCGTTTGCAATGGTGGATTCTTTGCCGATTCATGAAGACAGTGTAGCAGTATTGATTATACATACAATATTACAATATGGTCCACTGATCCAGGACCGCGGCTCACTTTACTATCCTTGGTGTCCAGAATCGCACCAACAACTATTGGAAGATCATTTTCTCAATGAGTTGATCTTGAGAATGGACCGTCGTTTAGATGAGCGTGAATTGAATTGGCAGAATGAACTGGTGTTAGTGGTGGTTACGTTGATTACCATGAGAGTCTTAATTATTTGCAATCCAGTGAGAGAAGAAAAAGCCGCCTATTTAGCTTTAAAGTGCCGTCGCGTGGGCGAAAAATGAAAAAAAAAAATCCATTGTATATTGTCATCGAATCAACACGTGATCTCCTTACTAAAAGCAGCTACTACCGTGCATGATAATACCATTTTGAACAAGAAGCAACCGAATATGAGTGTCTTTCTAAGGGATATGATGCGACTGAGTGAACGTGTATTAGTCATGATACAGCCATCATTAGCCGAGTTTCTTCAAAAAGCCTCGTATCAAAGTTTAAATGATTTTGCTGCGATCTACTGGGCAGTTATCCGCAGCAAAGGTACTATGGATTGTAAATGGAAGAAACGAAAGAAAGATGTCTATGATGGTTGGTACGATGGTCAGTATGTATCGGCTCAAATATCAATTGTTTGTTTGAGGGGAACATTTTTAGTCAGTGGCATGACTGTCGGTTTTTTGCCCGAAAAAGTCACCTCCAATGAATTATTTGTTCGCGTATTTGACCATTATATCTTTGAAGTACAAGCAACTGAATCATCCAATACCTACATTACTAAATATTCTTATCATGGTGATCGAAGGGTCCAATATGAATTCCATTTCGATGATCGAACCGATCGCTTGACCGTTCATGAACGACACATACGGACAAAGGAAATGTTTGAACTGATCCCTCCTAGTTGTTTTGAGGCTGAACTACCGGATACTTTTGTCTCCAGTCACAGCCATTGGAGAAATATAAACGATCAAACAATCGAGTTTCGACCGATTCATTTTAGCGATTCCGATTTTCTAAATCACAAACCCTACGTGTTAACTATGGAAACAGGCTATGTTACCACTACCGAGAGCGCCAATACACAAATTTTGGTCAGTCGATCATCACCGTTCTTCCAGAATTTGGTTATGCAGTACTTCGTTCGCCTCGATGATGAGCCGTACTTGTACATGATGAGAGATGATGCTTTAGATGTCATTGAAAAAAAAATACCGCAGACTGATGTTATTATTCACACTCACGTCTCTCGCTTAGGTATTGCTTTCAAATACAATGCGAGCAGCAACAACATTACCTCTCGTGAATATTCAGATATGTACGTTGATAAAGATCAATGGTTGGAAACATTGACGGGTTTGAAATCCGGTCTCCTCCTATCGCCAACGACAGCAACGAATAAAAAACGTGAACATTATCAATCCCGGAAACTGATCGTTCCTTTCGGACAGGTCTATGCCGGAGAGCGATCCTTCGCCGGCCATCAGACCGTAACCATTCAACGAAGCTCATCAATGCTATTTCCCCATCAGTATTTTGTTTTCATTTTGAATGATCGATTACGCATTGTTCAAGCGACCGATAGTCCTACCGGATGGCTTTATCTGGCATTGCTTCATGCCATTACATCTCATCCCCTACCAGATCAATATACCGGAATGACAGGAATGGAACGTACCTTTCAATTGCTCAATTCGGCCGGTTGTTGGACTAATCAACCGTTCGATTCTCTTTCTCTAAATATTCTTCGTCAAATAACTCTCATTTCACCAAAAGTCAATTATTATCCGGAACATCTCACTTGCATGCTAAAGATTGATTGGAATTCTGATTGCATACCTTATTCCCTGCAACATTTCGGCTATTATCTGATAGCGAAAAAACTTATCGATACAAGTCACCAATTGAATTTCATGCATCCATCGTCTTTTCCCGGTAAGATGTCGAAACTGAAGGGAGGGGATGAAGAAAATGATGAAAGATCATTGGCAAAACTGCACTGGGACTATCGCGATTCGTACAATCCGACCGCTCGATTATCCGCAGAGATGGAAGCAGAAATAACAACAAGTTCAGCAACACGATATCAGCCGGCTCCACAACATGGTTCGACTGTCATAAATCCCGAACAGATTCACCTTGTGGATGATATGTATAAGAATGAAGATGTGCGTCTGAAGGACAGTTGGGAGCTGTGTTGGTTCCCTTTGTCCCGATGGCTCACTGATGAATATCAACTGAAAGCTGTTTGGATTGGTTTATTGAAACTCGCTGACTCTGTTAAGATATCAGCAGCTGACAACGGTAGTGATGATATCCACCGATTTGAACTGTTGTTAGACTTCCTTCATTATATCTCCGCCAAACGCCAGATTCAGCCGTTTTATTTGCAAATGTTGAAGACCGTGTTGAAAGTACCCACTTTATCACTGAGATGCGTCACGTTTCCTCCATTTGTTCAATATAAGAACATCGAGGAAGTTTCAGTGAAAAGTAGTTCTATCAATTTCGACGTCCGTTATACTGCAAGCGAATGCAAGCAAATTATAGCAGAAGTCAAAGATTGTTTCGAGATGGATTGTACCTATAAAAATGACTGTGGTCTGGCAACTTCCGAAGAAAAACGTCAGATTAACAGATTATTAAACGTTTGGCAATCTAACCGAATTCTCCGATCGTTTTTAAAAACCGTTCAAAAACATATCTGCTCCTTCACCTTCTATCCATTAAATAATAGAGTACCAGTTTGTCCTCAACAGTTTACACTCGAATCAATCGAGCTCACCATCAAATAAAACTGAAGTCGACCGACAAACCAATTGACCAAAAACTGTTTCGGAATGCACAGCGAAAATATTTTCATCCGAATTCAGACTATTTTTATCAAGTCAGCTGTATCTCTTGAAACCATTCATCGGCACGAAGAATTTCCACACCAGATCTTTCCTTCTAATAATAATCAAGAAAATCTTCTCACGGACATTGCCAATTATTTCGAAAATCAGTTAGCGGAAAGTTGGAGCAAACTCCTATCGACTGAAGAGTACCGAAAAGAATATCCTGCCAAGGAGGAAATCAGCCAGCGTCTCGATTCTTCTAGCCAAGAATCTGCACAATTCTGGAATGCATTGGTAGAATCCATCACCTTCGCCAATGACCAGTTATTCAAAACAGGTTTGGTACTAAGAACCACCCCAGCAATTCTCATATCTCTTTTTCAACAAATCTGGTTAAACGAGGAACAACAACAATCTGTCGACGGACCCAGTGTCTCGTGTTTGAGAAAAAAACTGAAGACTGAAAAGCCTTTTTTGACAACAGATCAATGTACACTTCTGGGCAGAACCATGGTCAATTGGATCGTCGAACAACAAATCGAGAGAATTTTGCATTTCGTCAGCCACAACAAACGAGAAGAATTCGAAAAAGAACTATCGAATACACCACATTCAAATTGGGCACCATCTGAACATCTTCCATGGTTAATTTTGGAACTAGAAATGAACACAACCATTCGTGAAATACAAGTGAACGTCGCCCGTCACATGATGCAATCAAAATTGTCGACTGGCGATACGACAGTAAAAAACATCGTCATGCAAATGAATATGGGCGAAGGTAAAACTTCCGTCATTATACCGATGCTAGCACTCAGCTTATGTTCGCCTTTATCGAGTTTGGTTCGTGTGGTGGTACTGAGATCCTTATTTTCCATGAACTATCAATCGTTACGATTCAAATTAGGCGGTTTACTCAATCGGCGTATCTTTCCATTTGCATGTCGTCGCGATATGAATTTCACCTATGTACAAATCAACCAAGTCTTCGACCGTCTCAAACAAGGATTACGTAATTGTGATGTCGTATTGATTTCACCGGAATACATTCTCTCCTTCGATTTACTCACTATAGATAAATGTCGACGAAACGAATTTGAAACTGGTCGTTCGATGTTGACAGTGCAACGCTGGTTGAAAACATTTGCTCGGGATGTTTTGGATGAATCCGACGAAATTTTACATGTCAAATATCAGTTGATTTATACGGTTGGTGGTCAACAACAAGTCGACGGAGGTATGGAATGTTGAAAGACCATTCAGTCGATACTGGGCTTAGTCAAACGATACGCTGCGGACATCGCACAAGTTGACCATGACGAAGTTTGCTATAAATCACCGGAGCGCAAAAGTAGCTTTCCAGAATTTCGTTTATTATCACATCGACCGTTTCCCAAGTTGTGTGAAATGATCGCCAATGACTGGCTCAATCAGAAATCGTATCGCCAGATAGATAAGCGCCGCATCTTATCCTTCCTTTTAGACACAAACTCATCGGTTGATCATCTCGTTGATCGATTTCCACTCAATGATATTCAACTGTTTCTCATCGTTCGTGGTTTGCTGTCAGCCGAAGTCCAATTCGTTGCTTTCAAGAAGCGCTATCGAGTTAATTATGGCGTCAGTCTCAATCCTAGATTTAATCGATTAATGGCCGTACCGTTCCGGGCCAAGGACGTTGCCGCAGACAAAACTGAATTCGGTCATCCGGATGTGGCGCTCGTTTTAACACAACTCTCGTATCACTATAGTGGTTTGAATGATTCACAGATGCTTCAATGCTTCGATCGTTTGAGTCAGGAAGAAAGAGATCCGGAATTGATCTATGACGAATAGATTTCACAGGAAGACAAAAATGATGTTGTGTCGAGTATCAAACAATGGAAAGGAGTCAATCTAAAAGATTATCAACAACGAACCTGTCATCTCTTTCCCACTCTACGCTATAATATATTAGTCGTCAATTATTTTCTAAATCATTTTGTCTTTCCTCGAGAAGCGAAACAATTTCCTCACAAATTGGTTTCCTCCGCCTGGGACTTGTCCTCATCTGCACGATCGAAAATGATCACCGGATTCAGTGGTACCAGTGATATACAGTGATATACATATATATTATTACTGCCCGTTCACATCCATCAGTACGATTTACCTGAACTACAAAAAACCTCTGCCATTGTCGTGAACAATTTGTTACAATCGGAAAATGAAAATTATCAATCTTTACCCATCAATGCTACTTCGGACGCGATCTTGAATGAAATTGTGAATTACAAATCGATGATCAACATTATTCTGGATGTGGGTGCACTGTTCATCGATGGCACGAATCGTGAAATAGGGGTGAAATGGCTGAAACTATCCAATAAAGCTCCGATCGATTATGCTGTTTATCTGGAATCAGATTCCATCTTTGTTTGTGATCGTCAGTTCCATCATCATTCATTTCTGACATCGCCTGCTAGTGAACGACTGGATCGTTGTGTGATTTATTTAGATGAAGTGCATACGAGAGGAACCGATTTCAAATTTCCGACTGGATTCGAAGCTGCAGTCACCTTAGGGAATAGTTTAACCAAAGATTCTTTCGTTCAAGCATGTATGAGAATGCACAAATTGGGCAAAGGTCATTCGTTGACATTTTGGAGTTCAGATGAAGTTCATCGACAAATCACCACGTTGAAGAGAGGTTCGCCTGGCCAAAGTCCAGAAGTACAGATACACAACCAGAATGATCCCGTCAGGGTCAAAGATATTCTTCGTTGGGTGTATGAGAATTCGCAACAAGCCACTTGGGACGGATTACATCATTGGGCTGCACAAAGTTTAAGTTTTCAACGGAAAGTCGACACCTTTTGGAGCATTCACTGGACCGATCATCAGCAAGTGTTTACAGATAAAATGATGGAAGAGTTGGCCAGAGAATGTCTGGAACCGGAAATCATTGAGTTAAAACGTATGTATGGTGCACCAAGAGTGCTGCAAACCATATCGGAGATTTACGTGATTCGCTACCAACATTGCAGTATTCGTTCATCAGCAGACACTCATGACGCTGTGTTAAAACGATTGAGCGCGTATGGTGGATCGAAGCAACGTCTGTCACAATTGTTAGATGAAGAGCAACAACGAGAATTGGAACAAGAACTAGAAGAAGAACGACAAGTGGCTCGTCCTCCACCTGTCCGTCCGCGCCAACCGATCTTACACAAGGCAATCAAGAGATTGTGCAACACCGATGGTCCTATGTTGAACTTAGGTCAATTTACTTCGGTATTTCGTCCCTTAGTTTATGCTTTTACCGGCACCACATTCTCTCAAGACTGTTCAGTCAACAGTTGGCAGCCACACTTTTCGGTTTCCACAGAATTTCAGCGAGTGATTCTAGCCAAAGGGGAATCCCTAGATCCATTTCTCCGTCCTCCGCGATGGATAATGGTCTATCGCAGACAACATATTATTTTGTCAGCGCTTTTGAAGCCAATTGGCTGTTAGGTCGCTTGCACCGCTTTTGTCACCAGCAAAAAAAAAAAGACTACCAGACACTACGTTACGTTTATTGCTGCCTCGTATGAAGCGAGTTCAATCGATTTTTGTCAATACACCTACTCTGACGATTCCTCCATCCATTGCGCTCTCTCATGACGCTGCTGCTTTCGTTTTACCCGTAGACTGGTTGACTCAATTACTCGTCTTTAACGGTACTCTTTATTTCGAGACCGTTGAGGAGCAAACGTCCTATTGTCAATATTTAGCTTTGTGTCCCAAACCTCGAACACCGATAGAAGAAGCTGCCTTCGAAAACGGTTGGATTGCTATCGACGGATTTGTTCGGAAACCGAAGCGTCGTCGTCGGTTGCAGATTCATCAAGCTCGATTCGATTCCAGTCCACTAACATTGGTGAAACTACTAATTGAAAATCGAAACAATTCACACGCACCCCTGACGTCGCATGTTGGAAGCATTATTTTCAGTTCATTCAAACTCCTTTCATTCAACTAAGACACCATTTTGATTGACTTGACGATGAATGCTTGAACACTCCTTTAGTCATTTTTCTGTCTTAATAAGAAACTAATGTTTTTTAAAAGAATACTATTGGAGAGCCCGTTTACGTCTCTACAAAGCTGGTCAAAATATCTAGACAGATGGGGTCAGTCATTAAATATATGGAAAAGAAGGATTTGGATGTGTATATGCAGTACAGTGTGTCATGATCACAAGAACTCCTTTGAGGGTTGTTTTGTTTTCTATTCGCAATGCGAACCACTTCACCGGATAGGACGTGAAAAGGCGCGTCGAATGCATATCTTGTTGTCTTTAGTTGATATGATTTTATGGGGGAAAAGTAGTTTACAGAAAAGGCCTACTTTTCGGATAAAACGAGATTTTTGGATATTTTCCTGAGAACATGGTTAATTTTTTCGGAACTTTTTGTTCAGTAGTGATTTTGCAGCTCTGCACATATAGAAGCTAATCTGACGATACCAGCTCATGAAAGTGTTTCACTAAAAAATGGTGAAAATGCCCACAAATGGACAGTTCTGCTGGGAAATGAGATTTCCACAGGTCTAGAAGACCATCATGCCATTGTTTTAAAAGTTTGATTGATTGTATATGTTACATCACCGTTGAACTTTTCTATATTGATCAAGCTTTCTTTATAACATGCCATTAGTGCTTGGTCCGTCATTGTGGATGTTGTTTTGTCGGATAAACGAGTAGTGGGATTGGATGGAGATAAGTCATTATGAAAGTCAGCTTGTTGTCCCCACTACCACAGAAAAAATAATGACTTTGTACCAACTGGATCCTGAGATATTGGGCGTATAAGGTCCAAAAAGCCGGTTTTTAGCGCTACCTGTCGTTAAGAAGTGCTTCTTATCAAATTTATTCTTCATCATTGACACCCAGTGATTCCATTAACTTATAGTAAACAGTCTGGGGTTTCGGAATATCTGACTGATTAGCACCGTAATCACACTTTTCTCGGTCATTTTTTATACGAAAATCCGTTTACAGTGAAAATGTGATTTTCTGTCACGCGAGATTAAAAACGATGCCCAGACTGAATAGCTAATCTGAAAATTCTCAAGAAGGTCTTGAATGAAAGCCAACACTCGCGGGCATAAAATGATAAAGAAACAAAACAAGTACACGGTTGTCACGCTAAATGTCACGTAAGATTATTTGTTTTGTTTTATCTATAACTCTCTTATTTGTTGAGCGTTTGAGACGAAACTAGGCTCATTTTATCTACTCGTCGGGGTCAAGTTCTTGTGAAAAGAGCGGCGTATGAGAGTTTACGGTTCGCGAGAAAACTGAGAATTACTGAAAAATGTCACGCGAGATTAAAAGCGATGCCTAGACTGAATGGATTATCTGAAAGGCGTGGCAGAGGTCTTGAATGGAAGACAGAACTCCGGAGCATAAAATCGTAAACAAATAAAAACATGCGAACCATGTCTTGGCGAGAAAAATTCCCAAAAAAACGTCGAACTATCCGTCTGCCAGATTCTTAAAATAATACAGCATTATAATGCATTATTTGTAAATTCGTGTGTTTTAATGCACTATTTTCTAATCTCATGTGTTATAATGCATGAATTCGTAAAGTAATGTATTAGAGACATTAATGCATTAATAATACATTACAATGCATGAAAAACTATGAACTTTAATGCATTAGAAGCATTATTCACAAATAATGCATTATAAATGTCGAGAAAAAGTAGAATAACATAATGCCATTAACTTACAGTATTTTCCATTATTATGCCAGATGGGTACTTTCACACTAAAGGTCACGCGAGATTTTTATATTTATTCAACATTGATTACTTTAATATAATAATAAATATAAACTTGTGTCTGTTAGTTTTCGATAAATAATTGTTTTATAATTAGTACTCGGTTTTTGTTACATATAACGTGTGTAGCTTTAAGATTGTAATCTAACTGTTTAAACCTACTTCTTTATTGTCAGTCGCCTATTTTTCTTGTTTTTTCTTTTTTCCTTTTGTTTATCCTATTTCGAGATCTAGCTTATGATTTTATCTCTCTCTCAAGGAATAGAATGAAGATGGACTTATTCGTACGAAAATAGAAGAACCATATGCGAAGTAAAACACATATTTAAAAATATATTTACAGACTATTGTATATCTCTCGACACTGAAGGACAGATTAAGTCAGGGAATTTCGTTGTTTTTTGCTGTCTGTTTCAAAAAATTAATTTTCTCAACAGCGGGACAATATTTTCCAAAACTGATGCTTAACTTTTTTCATACTCTTATGCCGGGTGGAATGATATAAAAATATTGACTTCATCTCCTATCCAGACTGATTTGAAGCTTTTTGCGTCAACATGAACGGGATTTTGGCTGTTGGTGAAAAACTAAAATATCTTAGATCATATCATACTTGAATAGTATCGAAACACTATTTTTCAGATTTAGTTTTTTTATGGCGAACATGAGTAAGATGCTTCTAAGGTTCGCAAATACATTGTGTGTCGAGTGTTATGTTGATTTTTCAAAATTAAGCTATTTCTTAAAATTTTAGAATTTTCAGTTTTTTACATTTTCGACAATAAAATTTTTATTCGAAAGGTTAAAATATACATATTTCGGGTTCAGCTCGTCGAGCTCTATCCAGCTATGTATAAATATCGAGAAAATAAAAAGTGCTCCTCATTTGAATTTCCTTAACCCTAAGTACACGCTGTCTTTTGGATTGCTGCTTAAAGAAGAACAAAGAAAAGGACAATTTTTGTTCAACTTTATTAAAATTATTCAACCTCAAACAACTTAAAAAAAAAACCAACACTAATAGAACACTAAATATCAAAAAAATACAAATTTCTATCATTCAACAATACTATTCCTTTACCAAAAAGCAAAACAAAAACCTTAAATAAAACAAAACTAACATTAAAAATAAAACTCTGATACGACAAATCAGTATTATAAAACTTAATTCTTATTAATAAAAATTAATTACCAAAAAATTAAACAAAATTAACCACAAAAAATCAAAAATCGTAATTTTGAAACAATGGTTTAAAACCTAATAAACGCAAATTATCTAATAAAAATCTAAATACGCAGAGAACCAGAAGACTTATATAAATAAGATGCACATAAAGCACTTACATAGAAGTAGATATAACAATTAAATAAAAAATATAAGCAACAAAAATAAAAATACAATAAGAATCAACTCCAACACTAGTAATATAACCCTCAAAAAACCCCAAATCATAAAAGTCGAATGATATAGAAAATATAATAAAAAACAAAACCCACAAATTAACCTTATTCCAATTAAAATCAACTAAAGAACAAGAAATATATAATACAAAAACAACAATACCACTTAAATAAATTATAACTAACAAATATTTCAAAAATAAAATCATTTTAGAAAAAAAAAACCACTATAAATAAAACAATACAGACCAAACTCAAAGAATTCATTATATAAGAAAAATAATAAACAGATATATAATTTCAAACAATAATTAATAACAAAAAATGAACTCTAAATTCATTAAACATTACCATAAAAATAATAAATTTCCTTTCGTACTATATATTAACATAAATAGATAAAATCTAACCTAGTTCATACCGGTCTAAACTCAGATCACGTAAAATTATATAGTCTAACAGACTAAAAATAAAAAAATCTACTTAATTATCATTAATGATCCAGCATCGAGGTAATAAAACAAAAATATTAATATGATCTTAACATCTTTATTATCCTGTTAACCCTAAAGTAATTAAAAAATAATAATTACCAAATCAATAAAATTACCCCAATTAAAATAAAATTTAAAATTTATAGGGTCTTATCGTCTAATTATAAAACTAAAGTATTATCACATCTAATAGAACTTAAATTAAATCTAAAAAACCATAATAATTCTTTTATTCATTCATTTCAGTCTGTTATTAAAAGACTAATGATTATGCTACCTTAGTACAGTCAGATTACTGCAGCTATTTAATCGCATTGAGCAGAACACACCTAACAAACATTAAACTATGTTTTTAATAAATAGTAAAATTAAAAAGCCTAATTTTTTTTAAAATAAAACAAAAATGACAAATTAAAAAAACTTAATAATTTAAACATTTAAATAAAAAATTTAAAACATAAAGAAAAACAAAATAAAGAGCTAAAAAGAAAACCATAATAAACATACTTAAAACCATTTAAATACAAAAATAAATCAATCAGATATAATAAAAACAAATTTATCATTATTAACTAGCAATATAAAATTAATATTTTCCATTAAAAATCCTATCTAAAAATTTAGCTAATTAAATATTTTATTTTCTACGTTCAACCATTATACAAAAAGTAAAAACTAAAACTTTAAATATAAAACCCTATAAACCCAAATCATATATAAATATATTAAAATCAAAATAATATAAAATCTTATGACTTACAATCATACATTTTAAACTTTTATATTAAT